TAAAGATCACTCCACAAACAGGATGTGGGCAGGAAATCAGGCGAGGGACTGGGTGGGATAAACCTCCACGTGGTGGAACATGCTACTGTGATCCAGAGAAAGTCAAAGTCATTGAGTTTCTTTTTCAATTAGTGTCAATGGTTTGTGTTTCTAGAGCAAATAATAAGCAAAACAAAGTAATGAACTTTAAGAGGCGATCACGTGTATAAGACCCTACTGAGCAGGATAAAGAAAACCTGACATAAAACAAATGACACCGAGAGAGATCACTCCTCTACATTAGGATCTAGAAGTAGCTACAGTTGTTGTAAAACAAGTGGCTGAAAGGAACCGGACAGTATGACCAGCATCAGTGCCATTCCAACACTGCCCGGGCAGGTGCACCCACGAATGACACTAACAATGCCCCATTAGGCTTCACGGAATCCATTACTCTCTTGAAATTCCTTATGTGAAGACCGGATGAATACTAGGCCCCAGCTTATTGTGTGTGTGTGTGTGTGTGTGTGTGTGTGTGTGTTTGACAGGCAGAGTTAGACAGTGAGAGAGACAGAGAAAGGTCTTCCTTTTTCCATTGGTTCAACCCCCAAATGGCCGCTATGGCCGGCGCATTGTGGGCAGCGTGACGTGCTGATCCGAAGGCAGGAGCCAGGTGCTTCCTCCTGGTCTCCCATGGGGTGCAGGGCCCAAGCACTTGGCCATCCCCCACTGCCTTCCTGGGCCATGGAGAGCTGGACTGGAAGAGGAGCAACCGGGACAGAATCCGGCGCCCCGACTGGGACTAGAACCTGGGGTGCCGGCACCACAGGCGGAGGATTAGCCAAGTGAGCCGCAGTGCTGGCCCCAGCTTATTGTTTTCTACAGATCTTTTCTTCTGTCATCCTTAAATGAAATAACTAACATTATGTATCATGAAATGACTCTGGAGTGAGACATTCTAAGCTATTAAGCAATGGAAATTAAGCCAGTACTTTCTTTGTTTTCCTAAAATGAAAATGGTTTCATAGGTGTTATGAATTATAAAAATAACACATATGGGCCAACACTGTGGCACAGCGTGTCAAGCTGCCACCTGCAGTGTCGGAATCCCATATGGGTGCCGGTTCAAGTCCCGGCTGACCCACTTCTGATCCACTTTTCTGCTATGGCTGGGAAAGCAGTGGAAGAAAGTAACAAAAAAAAAAAAAAAAAACAACCATAAAAATCTCAACACTTAGAGATAAGTATTTGTAACATTTTGAACATTCTCCTAGATAGCTCTCTACTTGCACAGATACAAAAAAATGAGAAGTCATAACACTTGCCTTTAAACTAAATAGGTTATTATTCTCTGTTACTGATAATATACAAACAAACATTTATTAAATGCTTACTCTCTGTACTATGTTGTCTGGGGTATAATGTGAGCAAGAGCAATATGATGCGGTTAAAAGGACTTTTAAGAGACAAGAAGTTGGGGTTGGCGCTGTGGCACAGTAGACTAATCCTTCACCTGCTGCGCCAGCATCCTCTATGGGCACCGGTTCTAGTCTCGGCTGTTCCTCTTCTGATCCAGCTCTCTGGTACGGCCTGGAAAAGCAGTAGAGGATGGCCCAAGTCCTTGGGCCCCTGCACCCGTGTGGGAGACCAGGAGGAAGCTCCTGACTCCTGGCTATGGATCATCACAGCTCCAGCGTTGTGGCCATTTGGGGAGTGAATCAGCGGATGGAAGACCTTTCTCTTTATCTCTCCCTCTCAGTGTCTGCAATTCTACCTCTCAAATAAATAAATAAATAAATAAATCTTAGGGAAAAAAAGGCAGGAAGTCCATTGAGCCAACAATAAATAGCACTAAGTGCTGTGGGAGCAGAGGTATGGGGTGTCTGAGAGCACTTTATCTGATGTGAGAAGGCTGGGCAAGGAAAACACCCAGGAGAACTGACACTGCAACTGAGGGGAAGGATGAAGTGAACTGAAGCAGATGCAGGTGTCACCAGGAAAGGAAACGTCACGTGGGAGGTCTGGACACACTCAAGAACCGGGACAAACTATGAGGCTGCAATACGAGAATCTGTACCTCGTTCTATGGGCAGTAAGCAGCCATCGACACAGGGCTGCTCTGACTGTATCGCGCAGGACGTATTAGGAAAGGCCAGGCCAAAGCTGACATACGTTAGATGCACACACGCTACAGGTGCTGAGTTATCATTGTTGACGTATGCATGGATGTACCACGCAATTCTGTGAGGCCAGGGACTGTCTGTCCTCTCCAGAGCCCAACACAGTGTCTGGCACATAATAAACACTTGTTAATTTACACAGTTCGTTCAACAGCTGCTGAACACTTAGCATATGCCAGGGACTGTGCTAAGTGCATATTCATTTATCTTTAAAGTTATTCTTATTTTACTCAGAGAAACAGAAAATCTCAAAGCCAGCACAAGATCCAGCTGGCAGACCAGTGGGATTTCCCAGGCCGGCTGACTCCAAAGCCGCCTACCCAGTCACTCACAGCCAACCGGATGCTTGTTAACCAATTCCTCACAGATTAATAAACAATTTAGGTTATTTCTAACTATTTGCTATTTTAAGTGTTATGATGAATTTCTTCAAACTGACTACTCTTGATTGATTACCATATCAGCCTAAATCTTTGTTGTTAAAATGGTAACTCCTATAGCATGCACATTACAGCTTTAAATACACTTTCCTTACCATTATGTACTCAGTGTCATTTATTTTTGCCAACCCAAAGACCTTACTCCCCGATCTCATTTTTGTCTATGATTTATATTTTATATCATTATTAGTAAAACTGGTCACTTTTACACGTTTACAGGTAATTTTAATTTCTTATTTCCTGTTTATGTCCTTTGTCCCATTTAAAAATACTTGATCTGAAAATATTCTTTATGTGTTACAAATTTTAACTTTTTGTTTGTCATCAATGTATGTTAATAATGTGATTTTTTTAAAGATTTATTTTATTTATTTGAAAGACAGAATTACAGAGAGAGGTACAGACAGAGAGAGGTCTTCCATCTGCTGGTTCACTCCCAGTTGGCCGCAACGGCTGGAGCTGCGCTGACCTGAAGCCAGGAGCCAGGAGCTTCCTCCAGGTCTCCCACGTGGGTACAGGGGCCCAAGGACTTGGGCCATCCTCCACTGCTTTCCCAGGTCATAGCAGAGAGCTGGATTGGAAGTCGATCAGCCAGGACTAGAACCAGCGCCCATATGGGATACCGGCGTTTCAGGCCAGGGCTTTAACCCGCTGTGCCACAGCGCAGGCCCCAATAATGTGATTTTGATTTATATCTTGTCACCCACTGATTTGTGAATCTTTTTTTTTTTTTTTAAGAGATTGTATTTTTGTTTATTTGAAAGGCAGAGTGACAGTGAGAGTGAGAGAGAGAGAGAGAAAGAGATCACCTTCCATCTAATGGTTCACTCCCCAAGTGGCAGCAATGGCTAGGGCAGGGTTGGGCAGAAGCCAGCAACTCCCAGTGCGTCTCCCACGTGGGTGGCAGGGGCCCAAGGACTTGGGTCATCTTCTGCTGCTTTCCTAGGCACATTAGTAGGGAGCTGGATGGGAAGCAGAGCAGCTGGGACTTGAACAGGTACCCATACAGCACGCTGGTATCCCAGGCAGAGGCTTACCAGGTTACACAACACAGGACCCTACACTTCCTTTCATTATGGTTTTCCTGCCCACCTCATGATTATAAAAATTCTTTATACATTTTTTTCATAATCTTATTAGATTTTTAATAGCTTTCATTTTTTATAGAAAGCTTTTATTTAATAAATATAAATTTTATAAGTACAACTTTTGGATGATAGCAGTTCTTTCCCCTATACCCACCCTCCCACCCCCAAACCATCCCACTTCCTACTCCCTCTCCCATCCCATTCTTCATTAAGATTCATTTTTAATTATCTTTATACTAAGTAAAGATTTCAACAGTTTGCACCCACACAGACACACAGAGTATAAAGTCTTGTTTGAAGACATTAAGAACAGAGATCCTGAATGAGGAGCATTCAACAGTGACTCCTGTTGTTTATTTAACAATTGACACTCTTATTATGATGTCAGTGATCACCTAAGGCTCTTGTCATGAGCTGCCAAGGCTATGGAAGCCTCTTGAGTTCACAGACTCTGACATTATTTAGACAAGGTCATAATCAAAGTGGAAATTCTCTCCTCCCTTCAGAGAAAGGTATCTCCTTCTTTGATGGCCCGTTCTTTCCACTGGGATCTCACTCACAGACATCTTTCATTTAGGTCATTTTTTGCCAGTGTCTTGGCTTTCCATGCCTGAAATGCTCTCATGGGTTTTTTAGCCAGATCTGGATGCCTTAAGGGCTCATTCTGAGGCCAGAGTGCTGTTTTGGGGCATTTGTCATTCTATGAATCTGCTGTGTATCCCACTTCCCATGTTGGGTCATTCTCTCCTTTTTAATTCCATCTATCATTATTAGCAAACACTTGGAATTATTTATGTGATCCCTTTGACACTTAATCCTATCTTTATGATCAGTTATAAACTTAAACTGACCTCTTTAACTAGTAAGATGGCATTGGTACCTACTAACTTAATGGGATTTGGAGTCCCATGGCAAGTTTTTAGCTTTACCTTTAGGTAAAGTCTGAGGGGGCATGTGCCGAACTGTACATCTCCTCCCTCTCTTATTCCCACTCTTATTTTTAACAGGGATCAATTTTCAATTGGATTTAAATACCTAAGAATAATTCTGTGTTAAGAGTTCAACAAATGGTATTAAATAGAAAAAAATACTAAAAAGAATAAAATAGTAAGCTGTTCCTTGTCAGGACTAGCTTTCATTTTTTACGTCAAATTGTATCTACTTAAAAATCTATTTTGATGCAGCAATGATATTGATACAATAATTCAGCTTACTGGAGAGGTAAGTTTTTCAAAGAACATAATAATTGGAATGTGATCTGAAGCACAAAGGGTAGGTCTAATCCTAAGCAACTAATTTATTTGGTCAGATAATACTTAAGTTTTCTTCTTTGTACTTGTGTAGGAATGCATAAACTTTACAAATAATTCTGTAAACAACAAACAGGAAAATACTCAAATACTTAAATTAACTGCTTTTTTCTGAACTCACCACTTAAGCATCTCCAGTATAATGCTAACTCAGTGATGTGGAATGAAGGATCTCCTTGTTTTAAATACTTAACTACCAGACATTTTAAGCTTCATGTTTTATTTATTTATATTTACTTCAAAGGCAAACGGGGAGATAGAGAAAGAGAGAAAAAGAGAGAGAGAGGAAGAGAGGGAGGGAAGGAAGGAAGGAGGGAGGGAGGGAAGGAGGCAGGGAGAGAAACAGAGATCTTCTACCCACTGGTTTATTCCCCAAATGCCCACAACAGCTTGGGTTGGGACAAGCTAAAGCCAGGAGCTGAGAACTAAATCTGGGTCTCTCACAGGGATGGCAAGTACCCAACCAGCTGAGGCACGATCGGCTGAATCTCAGGGAGTTAACAGCAGGAAGCTGGAAGTGGAAGCAGAGCAGGAACTCAAACCCAGGTACTCTGATATGACTGCAGACGTCTCAAGAGGCTTCATTTATTTTTTTAATCTATATATTTCAATTTTCACAAGGGATGAAAATTGAGGCCATCAATGATTTAAATAAGACTAAAAAATTTGAGAAAGGACAGGAAACCTTTTGTTTAGAGAATGAAATATAAATTGTTAATCCACTTTTAAGAAACAGAAAGAAGTCCACAACAATCTATTTTATAAAAAATGTTACTATAATAATTTCTCTTTTGAATATGGCCTAGAAGAATCATTTTTCCTCCAGCTTAATGGAGATGGTCAAATGGCTTCCTTAATCTGTTCCAAATGTGCTCCAAGCTCTAATTTTAATGAAAACTAATAATAGAAGCTTTTTAAAAATAAATAAAGAGTACTATCAAAAGTAACCTTTAGGGCCGGCGCCGTGGCTCACTAGGCTAATCCTCCACCTAGCGGCGCCGGCACACCGGGTTCTAGTCCCGGTCGGGGCACCGGATTCTGTCCCGGTTGCCCCTCTTCCAGGCCAGCCCTCTGCTGTGGCCAGGGAGTGCAGTGGAGGATGGCCCAGGTGCTTGGGCCCTGCACCCCATGGGAGACCAGGAAAAGCACCTGGCTCCTGGCTCCTGCCATCGGATCAGCGCGGTGCGCCGGCCGCAGCGCGCTGGCCGTGGCGGCCATTGGAGGGTGAACCAACAGCAAAGGAAGACCTTTCTCTCTGTCTCTCTCTCTCACTGTCCACTCTGCCTGTCAAAAAAAAAAAAAAAAAAAGTAACCTTTAGATTAAAGGATTTTTGTGTTGACATTAGGAAAATTCTCTTAAGACCAATTTAGAGCAATTTTTTTTTTAAATAAATGAATTGCTTACAATATAAACACATGTTCACTGAAGAAAATTTGAGAATACAGAATATCCTAAAGAAAAATTCAGTTGGGTTATATTTCATTGAAACTTAGAAAATGGATGGAAGCATAAAAATATAATGATCCTGCATTGAAATAATGTTGATTTCCATAATTTTGCCAAAAATGATGTAGTTACAGTTAACGTATTATCTCTTTACTTTTTATGAGCTTTAGAATACACTTTTTTAATAAGATTTAATTTCTATATTTATATAATCTTAAATTAAAAAACTTACTAAATCCTGAAGATAATTTAGAAAAATAAAAATGTCTTTGCACAGACTTCCTTAGGGAAAGGCAAGCCCACACAATGCAGGAAATAATAACTGGGTCAAATCATGGGTATCAGCACAGTGCTTTCCAAAACAATGTTCTTCTCACATCCACTGCTTTATGCTAATACAGAAACCTATAAGCCAAAGCTATATATACACGTAGAAATTCAGACAGCATTACTGCCAGCTGTGAGAGAAAAGTGACAGCAGTTTGGTACTGAATGCTTCTAGAGACAGCCCTCAAAGGCTAAGGAGATAGTAAGATTTACAGGCTGCTCTGAAAGCCAGGCCACCCCAAGCTCCTTTGTGAATATTTAAATAGTTACCTTAAACAACACAATAAAACGGTTTGTTTACCTGACCACTACCAGAAGGTGCCACGCTAATTTCTGCCAATCCTGGGCCTTCACTCTGCCGCTCAGCTTCATGTGAGCCGGCTTCATGCTTGCTCTGAGATGACCTCTGTTAACATGGAGTTAAATATCATTACATACAAAACGGAGCACGCCTTCTCAGCCCACAGCTTTCTTATTCCTTGTTTTAAAGCCTTGAAATGCGTCAATCAGACATTGACAAAGGCGCAGAGGAGCACGCTACCTCCATCAACAACCCCTAGCACAGCGAGAGGAGAGTGAGGCACATCCCGTGAGTATTAGAGCCGCACAAGACAAAGGGTTCTGAGATTCACAGAACAGCCTCCCACACCAGCTGTGCTCCCATCTCCACCAGGAATACAGCCCCACCAGAGCACAACACTTTCTTTCCTGCAAGGCTGCACAACTGGCACTTAATGGAGCTGTAAATACAGCAGTAAAGATTTGTACACAGAATACACACATCCTCTGCTAACAAAAGTTGTATAAAACCAGAGGCTAAGCTCAGACTCTCACATGGATAGAACCAAAATCTTTTCTAATGCAGCCACCCATCTGTTATGTGAAATAAAAATGACAGATTATATCCAGGAAAAGCAGTCATTTCAAAACAGATTATATCCAGTACAAAGCAGTCACTCTGTGAAGATACGACTGCAGAATCAAACAAATAAAATAATTTTCTCCGTTTTTTATAAACATCTCTGTTCTTCCTCTATGAAAATACTCTAAAAATCACACTTTAAAAATGTGACACACAGTGCGTAACAAAATGGCTTCCACTGGAATTCCTTAAACATCAAGCTTTCCTAGACCATTTTAAAATGTAACTTAATTTACATGCAACATTTCCATCAACAAACTAGCATTTAGTTTATTCTAGAATGTCAAAGAATCATGGTGTGGCTAAAGCACCATATATAAGGGAGAAAATAAAACAAGAAGATAGTAAAAATAAAATTAATGATTTTGCTTAACTTCAGTGTGATTCTCAGAGGCACTCTAATATTTCTGACTTACAGCAAGACCACCTCACTAATATTCTCCCATGCTAATACACTAATGGGAAGGTTGCATGTAAGTAAATCTTTAAAAAATTATTTTATTTATTTACTTGAGAGATGAGGAGAGAGAGAGAAAGTGAGTGAGAGGGAGAGAAACTGAAGCCTTATGCAAGTGAGACTGTCTTAGGGGGAGAGGACAGAGAAGAGAAGGTGGCCTTAAGGGATGCCTGCCACTAATGTCTACAGAAGGGAAGATGAGCCTGTAAAGGCCAGAGAGGTGTACAGAAACCAGCAAGTGATGCAGATGAAGATGGGGAAGTTAAAAAAATAAATCCAATGTTCAGGGGCACTAAACATGTGGCACCGATGAAGCATTATCACCCCCATTTCACAGATAAATTGGGGCACAGACTGGCTTTCAGTCACACACTTCACTGCCCTTGCACTCTGATTGCGGAGCCCACACTATTATTCAACACGGGCTATCACACGCTCGCTTCCTCATCATCCCTCCCCTTTGCTCTCACTGACCCAGCGCAGGGGTCTGCTCTCACTCCAGGGTCAATCCAACGTCATGCCAAGAGAGGACAGAGTGGCTACTTCTGCTGCCTAAGAAAGAATCATCCTATCCAGCTCCTCATGTCCAAGGTTGGAAAGTTTCCCCAAGGTTCTCAACCCTACTGATGAAACTGAAAAATTTTAAAGACAACTTTGTTGAGGTATTCACACACTATAAAAATGCTCTTTTTAAAGTGTACAATTAAGTAGGTTTCAGTAAACTGTCCAAGCCCTGCCATAATCTGGTGTTACAATGTTTTCATCACTGCAGTAAGAGCTTCCTGCCACCCAGATTTACCGCACAGTCCATTGAGAGCCCAGGCAATCACTCATCTGCACTGTCTTCATCAGTGTGCCTTTTCCAGATATTTCACACAAGTGGACTTCATGCGTCAGGTTTATTTTACTTAGCAGTTTATGAGGATCATCTGTATTATAGTTAAGTATCAATAATTTGCTACTTTTTATTGGCAATAGCCAATAAAATCCTATTGTAAGAGTATACCTCATTTTGTTTCTTTGTTCACTAGCTGATACACATTTGTACTGTTCATACTTTGGGCTATTATGAACAATGCTGCTACAAACATCAATTTAAGGTTTTTGTATTGATACGTTTTTATTTCTCAGCACCAGGAGTGGGACTGCTGAGTCACATAGTAACTCTATGTTCAATATTTCAAGGAATTGTTAAATTGTTTTTTAAGTAGCTGAACCATTATTTATTTGAGAGGCAGAGTTTCAGACACAGAGGAGAGACAAGGGAGAGTTGAACCATTTTACAACCCCCTGCCATGTCCGAGGGTTCCTGCTCTTTCATATCCTCACCAATACTTACTATCATCTTTATGATGACAGCCACTGTAAAGAGTCAGAAGTAGTCACTCATTGTGGTTTGGATTTGCATTCCCTTAATGTAATAATTTTCATGTTTATCAGTCATTTCCCTATCTTTTCTGGTAAAGTACCTATTCAAATCTTTTGTCTATTTTTTTATAAAGAAATTATTTGAGGCAGAGAGACAGACAGTGAGCAAGACAGTGTGTGCACACAAACTCCTATCTGCCAGTTCACTCCCCAGCACCTAAAAGGGAAGGGAGTTGGAGGGAGTCAAAGTCAGAAACTCCCACATGAGAATTCACTTGCAATTACTTGCACCCTCACAGCTGCCTCCAGGGTGTGCAGGAATATGGAGCTGGAGTAAGGAGCTGGAACTGCCACTGAACCAGGTGCTCGTTTGGGATGTGGGCATCTTAACCACTAGGCTGAATACTTGTCTTTTGTCCTTTATTTGAAAGGCAGAGGTACAGAGCAGCAGAGGCAGAAAAAGGGAGGTCTTTCATCCGCTGGTTCAC